GGCTTCATATCGCTCACATTGTGCCCGAATGGAGAGGCTTTGTGTGGCAGAAAGCACAAGTTGCCAACCCCGGGTGCCCCACACACGTGAATATATCAAGGGCCATTGGGAAGCGGGGTGATCGTCGATAAATTAGCCGGTTGCAGATTTGTAGTATTCAATGTCACCGTGATCCCAAAAAGGGTCTTATGGTGGAACCAAGCACGATAGAACCAATAGCGTGTCTGGTGGCATCGGCGACAAGCCCATTCCTCAAATGGTTCAGCGACAGGCCAAGCTCCGTGGGTGGAATTGTGAATTTGATGAGCGTAATCCGTATAGTCCTCATTGTATTGGTTCTGCTCGGCAAAAGAGCAGGGTCCGCGGGAGGCGTGGAGTCAGCCGTGTGGTCCTGGTGTGAAAGGTTGTCATCGGGAGGAACTTGTGTCGGAGAGGAATCTCCCGAAGGGACGCGAACATCTTCTGGTTGAAGGTCCATATTCTCCATGTCAAGCAAAAGGTGGGGAGGAGTGTACCAATGTGGAACCAAAAGGCTGCGGAAGAAACGGAAAGAAGCAATAGTTTCAGCCGAGGCAAAGATCATGTTGATCCGTCAAAAGGAAGAAAAGGGTTCGTTTTCCACAGGAAGCGACGAGTCGATAGAACGTTTTGAATTAGTGAATTAAGGCTTTGCCTCAGGTAGTCGAAACGGACGTGACGGTCGGGGGATCAGAAAAGGTGGTTCTGTCGGACGAGCTTTCTTGGGGAAGGTAGTGGAGATAAGGATAGGTTCATCTGAATCCCGAAGGTAGGAGGCCATGGACGGGCGAGGTCGTCTGATACCTGTAGCGGGTGAATTGGACATGGGTCGCGCCAAAAGTGCGAGAGCAAAGGCGGTGAAACTAGTTTTTGAGCCAAAAGGCTGAAATGGCAGAGTATAGAGTGAAGAAGGGCAAAGGAGCGACAAGGCGTGGAAAAGGTTCAACATAATAATGGAGAAAAAGGCAATCGAGGATGCGAAGTGAGGGCTAAGAGCCTGAGGTGGACCGAAAATGGTAGTAAAACTGCAAAGTCAGCGAAGGCCGTTTTCCGGTTACTGTGAGTCGGTGAGTCAAAAAGTCAAAGGTGAACATCAGGATGTAGCCAGCCGTTGTAGTTCAAGAAGTTCAGCCCAACGAGCACGGATTTGAGATTCGGGGCGCTGCATTTTGGTGGTGATGTAGCGCCAACTGGGTCGAAGTCGTTCATTGCACTTGAGGCTGAGAAGTAGGTCGTCATCTTTGGTGCTCCAATCATCTTCCCAAGCGGTGCCGGAGTGGGGGCGAGGGGAGGCGGGAAGACAGGTAGGAGAGGGGGAGGAAGAGGGGGAAGGTGAGCGGCGTTTGCGGGGACGGGAGGGAAGGGGGCCATGGGGGGCGGAAGAGACGGAGGGTGGGAGAGCGTGAGAGGAAGGAGGTGGGTAGGCGAAGTCAGGAGGGGAGAGAACGGGGGAAGGAGGAAACGGGGGAGGAGAAGAGAGAGCGACGTCGGCGGGGAGAGGGGGAAGGGGAAGGAACAGGAGAGCTCGATGATTTCTTCCCCGGGTCTTCGCGTACCTGAGCCTTTGACACAAATGATTCCTACATCTCGTACTTCTTGGCGTGAAGTTCGTCAACCCTTTGAAACATTGGACATGGTTCCCGACCTCTCTACCGTCCGCTTTGAATTGGACGTCAGCTTGCTCGTCTATCAACCCCTGAACTACATCACAGTGACCCTAGACTGGCAGCAGATTGACACCAAGGAGTACACGGTTGATGATCTCAAAGATGTGATCTACTCCCGCTTAGGCCAACATCGTACGGCCTTCTGGATGGCCCTTCCCTCGACCGGTGATTCACGAGTATGGGAAGTCCCACACACATGCACCCTTGAAGACCTCGTCCTCTACTTTGTCAACTCACGACGGGTACGCCCACAGGGACTTGCCACTGAATACCCCCGTGAATCCGTTCCTTTTCCCTATCGACCTCTCCACACAGTCGCTCCCCGCCTTCATGATGACGCTATTGGTCAACTCCGACTACCACTGACTGCCTATCAGACCTATCGTGAGATTCGTCAATTCACTTAGTCTCACCCCAGTTTTGGCGCGGAGCTTAAAATCTTGCCTCCCGAGGCGTGTGTGTGTAACCCTTGGAATCATAGGGATCCTTTTGGATTTGTTTGGTTTGCCTTTTTGCTTTTTAGCCTTTGTCAAAGCAGGGGGACCATCCATGTACTGTGCGCGATGGTCCAACGAAGCGGCCACAGTACATGCGGATATCACGGCTGATCACCGTGACGTACCTGCTCGTTTTGACCTGGAAATTCCCAATGGTCCCACAACAAGATTCTGGCTTTTGCATCGGTTTGCTCTCGGCAGTCACGCATAGGGCTTTGGTCTTTTGGAGTTGCTGGCCACCTGAAACCTTTGGGACCTCCGCTGGATGGACCTCCTCTTCCTTTTTAGGTTTCCTTACCTGTACCCTTAGGAAATGGAACCCTAGGCCGGCGTGTGGCACCGCTTTCAGTTCAGTACACCCTATCCTAAGTGTGTGTGTGCGTGTGCGTGTGTGCGCTATGAAACTGATGGAGAGTTCAAAGTTCATGTGCGGAATTGGTAGTTCAGCAACTGAGTTAGGCCAGGAACATGTTTTCATTGGTGCCGGAAAACAGGGAGGTCGCAAAGCAGGTGGAGTGAAGATTCCAGACCTGCTGCAGAGCTCAACCTTCAGGTTGTTTGAAGGCCTTAGACAGTCGCAAATAAGAAATCCGACCAAACAAGGTGAAATCTTGGACCATTTGTTAAAAGGTTTGAGGAGACACACCGATGGTTGGTGTGAAGGGCCGGTCATGAAGAGGTGCAGGTGACTGCAGGCGACCGCAAGAGACCCCAGGTAACCTGTTTTTGCGGTTTTGCCCCACGGCAAAATCTTTGTGGGTGACAAAGGGCAGATCAGGACTTCATCCCTTCATTTGGCCAAGTGGTTTCCCACACTGAAATGAAACATAGATATGTTTAGATAAAGTTGCTTAAACCTTTAGCGTGATCAAAAAAGACCTGCATTCCGGCCCATCAGTGAGCTTTGAACTCCAACCCGAATGGAATGCGACAAGAAGGTACGCTTCAATTGTTTGTCATTTGACGACCAGTTCAGGACAGATGCTGAAGTTCAGTTCATTAGATGCTACTAAAGCTCTTGTGAGCTGAAGAGCTCTGTGCCGAGAACACATCAAACATGAAGTGGGGATCCCCCATGCAATGCCATGAGGAGACCTTGACAGCCGAAGCAGAAACCTGAAATTTGTTCTCAATTCCAACAAGCAAGAAAGCAATGAGAATTCAGCGCAAACAAACATCCTTTTTCTCCAAAGCTGGAGATTCATGCGCAGTCTTTGCAGTCAGGGACTCGAACATTTGAGCATATTTGGGAGAAGCTGAAGTACAACCAATAATCATTCAACTCCATACAGAAGTTGCTTTTAAGGATTGGCTGGGAATCTTTACACACAACTTTGCAGACAGACACACCTGTGCCATCCTTTTCTGTTGGCAGTTTTTGTGGGACGTCTCTTGCCAAGCCATGTTCCTGTTTTATGCTGCTTGGATCTGGCTAGTTTTCCCTGATACCTTTTGAATAGCGACTAAGAGTGTATGTAGTTTAAGAGTGTAGTTTGACAGGTCAGAAGCGGCGAGGTGTTGACAAATATTGATTACGTCTTGTTCACCACCTATTTCGCTGGGTACCCAGCGAACTGCAGAATCTTGAATCAACCAGAGCCCATTACTACTTTAGTGCATCGCTACTAGCAACAAATTGCATCGCTACTAGTAACAAAGTGCATCGCTACTGGTGGCAAGTGCGTAGCATGTTGCATACAAATATGTTTTGAGGTCATTTGTGCGATTTGGATGTTCCTCGAGTCGATCCTACTGTGGGCGCTAGTCGAGTACTGCCCGTTGTTCTTAGCCACGTGCCTATTGCTGAGTGGGATTTGCATAACTTTAAGCACTTGATTGTGATTGCACTGCTGAGGAAGCCAAGATACTGTTTTTTTGGTGGCTAGCGTTCTTTGCTCAGTTTGGTCGTTGTGCTTCTGATAGTAAGTTGACACTTAACACTGTCATGTAAGACACACCGAGCTCCCTTTTGCTTCAAGTAAAAGCTGTGAGGTCCCCAGAGTACAAAGGGGCTGTCTACTTGTGGCCTGAGTCCTGGATTGGTTAAGGATACAACAGGCTTGATATAACAGGTTTGAGATTCCATGATTTGACTTCTCCAGGTATGCACACATCAAACCGATGCACAAAATCTTGGACGAGAAATACTACGATAGCTTTATGACGGCTGTGCAGAAGGCATGCTGATGCACCCTTGCAGCAGGGAAGTCACCTGTCATGGGTTGGATGTCATTGGACAAATTGGTGGTGTCCTCGATCTCACATTGTTTTGCCTAAAGATAGCGGTCGTTGACCATGCTGCAGTGCATTAGCTTTCTCAATGAAACAATCGAAGTGTTCATGCCATGTGGAAAGTGGGAAGGGTACGGCTCTTTATGTGAAGACATCTTCACAGAGGGTTCGGAAAGCACGAGAATGAGAGTGAGAGGGGGTGCGATTGTGGGATGTGTATTCAAGCGATCAAAATGCAGGCTGCTTTGCCAGAAGTTCCCGCGGCAGAGACATCAAGTGGAGATGTCAGTGACAAAGAGAAGGTGCTGGAGAATCATGCCTCATGTGTAGAGCACAGAAGAACGATTATTTGCATGTGTTCAACAAACGTCATATGATGCAAATGATGTGTAACATGATTTGTTGCATTACTAGCATTATTATCAATGCATTACTAGCTTGTTATCAAGGTAATACTAGCATTGTTGTCATTGTATCACTGGCAGCGTTACAGGCAACCTTCAAGCTTGACCTTGGGTTGAACCACTAGAGTTTGGAATGCCTTCCATCTTAATCTTGAAAAGTCTGGCAGCTTTTGCTTTAACCCCAAAGGCAGCAAGCAAAGAATCAGCCTTGGCCACCATGTATTAGGACAACTGGTGGCCTTCAGGCTAAGATGGTTGAGCAGCCACCAACTTTTATGCACATTGTCAGGACTCGAGAATTACACCAGCATAGACCCAGACAGCTAGGCAGAATCCCACGACCTGTTGACATTGGGCTGGCTGGCACAAGGCTGCACAATGTACATGCAGCGCGCGCAACCAGCTGACACCCACACCGGTACCCTGTCTCGACAGTGCGCATTGCCAGCCGACAACGCCGGCAGCGGTACTAGCACCCGACCAGCGCCGCCGCCCGTCTCAAATGCATGCTCAGCCAGCTCACAGCACCAGCGCCCAGGACCACAACACCAGCACCAGCACCGACACCTTGTCGAAAGCGAGCTCATTCTTATTTGAAGTATAAGAGCCCATAGCTATTGCTATCTTGGGAATAACAACATGTGATCTTGTGCGCGTAAACTTGTGCGCGCAAAAGCATGCGTGCAAACAGCAAAGCCCGCAAGTGTCACTGGCCCAAGGCCAAGCCGTATCCATTGACTTTGTAGCATGCTTGGAGCAACGATCTGTAAAACGAAAAACACCGTATGATACGTATGATCTTGCGCGTATAAGTTTATGCGCGGAAAATATATGCACAAGCAGCAAAGCCCGTCGGTGTCACTCCCCCAAAACCAAGCAGTATCCAGCGTGGGACGAACGGCGTCAACCGAAAATGTAACCCTCTGCGGAGATCGTGCGCGTCGAGTGCGCGAAATGCAGGCGAGAGTGCGATTTGTCCGGTGCCCGCGCAACCCTCTGCGGAGATCGTCCGTGTCGAGTGCGCGAAAAGCAGGCAAGAGTGCGATTTGTCCCATGTGCGCGCAACCCTCTGCGGAGATCGCGCGTGTCGAGTGTGCGAAATGCAGGCGAGAGTGCGATTTGTCCCATGTGCGCGCAACCCTCTGCGGAGATCGTGCGTGTCGAGTGTGCTAAACGCAGGCGAGAGTGCGATTTGTCCGGGGCGCGCGCAACCCTCTGCGGAGATCACGCGTGTCGAATGCGCGAAATGCTGGCTGTGCGCGCAACCCTCTGCGGAGATCGCGCGTGTCGAGTGCGCGAAATGCAGGCGAGAGTGCGATTTGTCCCATGTGCACGCAACCCTCTGCGGAGATCGTGCGTGTCGAGTGCGAGTGCGATTTGTCCCATGTGCGCGCAACCCTCTGCGGAGATCGTGCGTGTCGAGTGCGCGAAATGCAGGCGAGAGTGCGATTTGTCCTGCGCGCCGGCAACCCTCTGCCACCATTGAGTTTGTAGCGTGCTGAAACAATGGTCGGTTGAGAGCCTGACGTTGCCCATATAACTCTACGCGCGCAACAGCGTGCGTGCAAACAGTACAGCCCTTGACACAGCCGTCGGCCAAAAGAGAACCTGAAGAGTGTAAATACCCCACAGCGCTTATAGACAAAGAATGTTCAAGCGACAACACCGTATGACGTGGCACTTCACTGTCAGAAGCGGCGGTTGGTATAATTTCACTGTCAGAAGCAGCGGTTGGCGACCGGCGGTTGGTCACCCTTCATAGTCAAAAGCGGCAGCTGGTCACAAGCGGCAGCTGGCGCCCATTCACTAAGGCATACGGATTGGAATGAGAGCGCGCGCGCCGCCACGCTGGCTCCAAAAGTCAACTGCCCCGCAGTTCGTCAGCTTTCCAAGCACCCTGACCCCACCAAGCGCACAGCCAGCACCAGCACCCATGCACTCCCGCAGCCAGCAGCGCCCAGCGCCGGCGCCCTGTTTCCACCACGAGCGCAGCCAGCTCACAGCACCCAGCACCAGCGCCCAGCACCGGCGCCCTTCCACCACGCACGCAGCGCAGTCAGCGTGGTGCTGGGCGCTGCGAGCTGGCAAACAGGGTGCCGGTGCTGGGCGCTGACTGTGCGCGTGGTGGAGACAGGGTGCCGGTGTGGGCGCCCGGCGCAGGCACCCCCGCATTGGCGCCCAGCACCGGCAGCGTGTGTCCACCACCCGCGCTGCCAGCTCACAGCGCTCGGCACCGGCGCCCGGCACCGGCGCCCCGCCTCCACCACGCGCCCTGCCAGCACCCAGCACCGGCGCCCTCCCTCCACCACGCGCACAGCCAGCGCCCAGCACCGGCGCCAGGTCTCCACCACGCGCGCAGCCAGCTTACAGCGCCCAGCGCCACAGCCAGCGCCAGCGCCCGACACCAGCGCCCTGCACCGGCACCCTGTCTCCACCACGCGCGCAGCCAGCGCCCAGCAACGGCGCCCAGCGCCGACACCCAGCACCGACACCCACCACCGGCGCCCTGTCTCCACCGCGCGCGCAGCCAGCTCACAGCACCCAGCACCAGCGCCGGGCGCCGGCACCCAGCGCCGGCGCCCTGTCTCAAAAGCGCGCGCAGCCAGCTCATTATTATTTGACGTAAGAACCCCATAGCTGTCGCTACCTGGGGAAAACACATAAAGGGCATGAAGGAGTGTGAAAAGACTTGTAAGCTGACATGACGAGGGAAAAGAAGAAGATGAAGGCTTGCATAGCAAGGACTTGCAAAAGAAATCACAAGAGTTTATATTGAACAATGTTAGTCAAATGACATTTCTAGACCTCAAGCCGCCGCGTGCACAGCCAGCTCACAGCACCAGCACAAGCACCCCCAGCACCAGCACCAGCAACCTGTCTCCACGCACAGCCAGCTCACAGCACCAGTGACCAGCACCAGCACCAGTGCCCGGCACCCAGCACCAGCACTGGCGCCCGTCACCAACGCCAGCAACCTGTCTCCACCACGTGCACAGCCAGCTCACAGCACCAGCACAAGCACCGGCGCCCGGCAGCACCAGCACCGGCCCCAGCAACCAGCACCGGCACCAGGCACCAGCACCAGCAACCTACGTGCACAGCCAGCTCACGGCACCAGCGCCGGCGCCAGGCTCCACCACGCGCACGGCCAGCTCACAGCACCAGCACCAGCGCCGGCACCCGGCACCACCAGCACCAGCACCGGCGCCCGGCACCCAGCACCAGCACCGGCGCCCGGCACCCAGCGCCAGCAACCTGTCTCCACCACGTGCGCAGCCAGCTCACAGCACCAGCGTGCACAGCCAGCCCACAGCACCAGCACCGGCGCCCGGCACCAGCACCAGCAACCTGTCTCGAAAGCGCGCACAGGCAACTCATTGTTATTTGAAGTAAGAACTCCATAGCGTCGCTATCTGGGGAAAAAAACATCCACATACAGAGAGAAAGAGAGAGATTCCTGGAAGTCCTACAATGCTTCTCTGGGGGGCCTTTCTCAACTCTTTTGCTTTCGTGTTTCGGCAGATTCCGATATGATCTCCACTCAACACCACTGGCAAAATCACTTCTCTCAAAAGGTTTGACGACTGGCAAGGCAGAACATGGCCTCACTTGCTTTTACTGACTTGGTTTGCACCTGCTTGACTTTGCAGGTGATACGGGATATGCTTGAAAAGAAAGGCTCATGACTGCAGAGATGTTTCACCCGAAGTTCAGGCTGAGTCTCTCAGCCGTCAGTGAGTGCAGTTGGGCTGTTGGTTGACCCTTCTGGGGGCGACGGTACCGGACAGTGAAGCAGCTTGAAAAGTCTTGAAAGGTCAAACACACTGTCCGGAATCTCCTAGCTGAAGCAGAGAGAGAGTCGAGGCAACAGAGATTGTTTGTGCTGTGCTGCGGCTCAGGACTACATTCACATACTGAAAAACAATCTATAGTGTTTAGCCTTTGAGGGCAACGAGGACATCCATCCGACACTAGGAAATCAACTTTCCATGGCTGTTACAATTCACAACGGATCCGTTCGGGTGGGGGATGCTCTTCACCCTGAATGTTTGGCCGATGTGTCCCTTACCTCAAATTCCACAGTGACATTTTGCATCTCACGTCCTCAATGTTTGAACTGCAAGAGTCTGGAACCAGGACAGATACAAAACATGTCTTATTGCTTTCCGATAGAACTGACATGGGGTAGAGGTGCGATGGGCTCTCGTCAAAGTACAGAACCTGTGTAGCAAGCTTAATCTCCGAACAAGACAGGACTGTTTTCACGGCTTGAACCTGTGCAAGATGAAGGAATGAAAGAAAGATGAACCTGTGAAAGACTAAGGTCTGCTGCTGAAATGGCAGCTGCCTCCCGGCTCTTGCTGAATGCTGCACGTCGCCAGGGCTTGAGATGGACCGACCTGGGTGACCTGAGGACCCCTAGTAGCTTCTTGTTCCTAGTAGTGATGCCAGGAGCCCCTAGTAGCGTCCTTGCTCCTAGTAGTAAGGCCAGGAGCCCCTAGTAGCTTCTTGTTCCTACTATTTATTCATCCCTTTTTCACTCTATTTGCTGCGACGTGAGGTTGCAATGCGGATGTGGTGAAGCAGGTGCAGATAACAGGGTTTCACTGCTTGAGAGTCGCTTGGGATTGGAGGGTTTCTGAGGCCTTGGCTGCAGGAGCCGACCCGAACATCAGGAGCGGGTCCGGCACGGGGTCGGTTTGTTTCCTTCTTTTTTCGTGCGAGGAGTGAGCATTCTGGCCGGCCTGCCTTGAGCTTTGCAGCTCAATGCGCCCAATCCTCGAAGCCAATTTGACCGTGAAACATGTGAAACAAAAAACAACTTATTTTAAAGCCCGGGTGGGTAGGTAACAGGAAGAGGTAGCTAGGTAGCTAAGTAAGCTTCTAGGTACAGGAAGCTCACCTATTGGACGCACAATAGCTCACGCTTCTTCAAGGGAGCCCCCCCGTTGCCCCAAAAGCGGCGGGGGGGCTTCCTTGAAGAAGCATTCGCACTATTCATTTGGTGTCTAATTTTTTAGGGAAACTAAAGTGATCCTCCGGGTTTGAGGCAGATACAACACTTCCTCTTCAGCGCCTGCTCGCTGCAAGGGCGCATGTGGATGCTGCGGTTGCAGCCCAAGGCTGTAACGATTTGTCTTGGCACTTTAGACTAAGGTACAACATACAGAAGGCAAGTTAGCTGCTTTGGACATTTAAGGCTGATGATGGCCGGACTGCTCTGCATATTGCAGTTGTCGACACCCCAGCTTTGCACACATGTCCAGGACAATGATGAAGCATGCACTCCAGACGAGTAAACTATCCTTTGCCAACCAAATGTGTTTGTACGAACCTTAGGTAACAGATGGTGGTAACAGCTTAGCATCTTAACGTTGTTTGAAGAGAGGTTGTCCAGCAGTCCTTAGGCATGGGAAAGAGGCACAGCTGCAACGAAGCTGGTCGAGGTCGCCCAGAGCACCCAAACGGCATGACGCGTGCTGTGATGACGTGAACTCTACTGCTGCACAGTTTACATTTGAACTTTCACCAAAAAAGGTGCGATGAAGTGAATACAGAGGTCACTCTTTGATTTTGCACAGATTCATTTAGCACCAAAGAGGGAAGTAATAGCATGTTCCTTATTTTTCTTGGAGTGCTCTTTTTTCAGGCTGGGGCTTCGAAGAACATTGCAGACAAGCATGGTCTGACTCCACTCGAAACTCGTCCGGTTTGGCAATATTTCCAGTGGGTCTTGCAAGAACCGGATACTTGCTGACAAGGGAACAAGTTAAAATACATGGTTTTTTGAGGATTGTCCAGCGAAATGGACCAAGCCAGGAGATTGCCCAGCGAAGAAACCGAGTGACCTTGTGAGCTGAGACCTGCGAATAGCAGAATCGCTTTAAAAAGTGGGAATCATGATAGAACGCCGCCAGCTTTTCTTCACGCTTTTGCTTTTCAGTTGATACTACGTTGGGGATGGGGGTGGTTTGGGGTGGGGCATGTTAGCGTTCGCTGGCACTTACGTCATGAAGTTGATGCTACGTTGGGGATCGGGGGGTGGGGTGGGGCATGTTAACGTTTGTGAAAGCAAAGGTGACAAAATGAAGTAGTTTGTCCGGACGTTCTGGGTCATCCGTTTTCACATGAAAAGAAGAATTCATGGTAAAAACCAACACGAAAACAATCTGTCATGATGATAAAACGAAGCGGCGTTCTATCAGCCGCTTACCATGTAGTTACCTTTAGTTCAATAATGTTGTTGAGTGCATGTCTAACCCTGCTGCAATCACTTGTGTTCGAGTGCTTGGCATGGCCTGCTGTTAGTGTCTTCTCCGACCAGCTTGAAGGTAACAAAGGCTGGCTTGAGCCTAGACAATGGGGTTGTTTCTATTCTTGCCTTTCCTGACAGGCTCCTTCAGCCATGGCAGATGCGGGGACGGCAAAGCAGGCACGTTCAAATAACCTGAACCGTTCTAGCGTAAACATCGCTTGCAACTTGCAAGTATGCACAGAGGGTGTGCAGGAACTTTCTTTACATGCAAGAGCAAGAGCAGCTCGTTTCATTTTGTAAATGGTTGATTCATATACAGTATCTATGAGGTCTTGGATTCCATGGACAAGCTCCATGGCCCGTTCGCTTCCTATATCCTGGACCAAGCTCATCATGTGCAACGTCAAGGTCGAAATATGTGGTCAACCTGATTGCAAGCAAATCTGCAGGTCAAATTTTGTGAACTTTGCAGCATATTCGTGGCCTGAGCCTTTGTTTCGCTTCATTTAAGCTTTGTTGATTTCAAGAGTTCTAGAACAAGCTGTTGGCAGTTGCTTTTGATAGGAATATATTCCGCTACATCGGAGATTACCTTCACTTGGGCGGGACTTGAGCTCAGTGTTCGTCGCTTCTCCACCTCGTTGGACAACTGGAGTACAAGATGAGGATTGTCACACTGTTGATCACTATCGTGCGAAACAAGTCCGTGGCTGGGATATCTAGGACTGCGGCGTGTGCCTGGGGATAGCTTTGAGCGATTGAAACAAAGATATTAATCGTACAATATACTTTATTTGTGCTCTTGGAGCTCACACAAGTTTGTAGCAACTTCAAACTTGTAAAAGCTGTGACGTTCAAGAGACTTTCAAGAGTGCCAATCATGTTTGGGATGGCTCATGGGTGAGTGCTGGCCGAAAATGTGACTAACTTTGGGTGGAACATTGGCTCGATAAAAGGGTTTGGTTCACTCCTATATATCTTCATGCTGCCAAAAAAATTGTGTGTATGTGTGTGTGTAACCCTTGGAATCATAGGGATCCTTTTGGATTTTTCTGGTTTGTTTATGTCACAGCAGGGGGCTCGTGGACGCATGGGTGGCACGAGCCAACGAAGACCCACCCATGTCGTCGTGATACCAGACCTGATCAGTCTGGCGCACCTGCGATTTTCCTTCCTTTCTGAATGGCATGAGGCTAAGCCAAGAACCTCGAAGTTTAGATGTCCTTTTGATGTCTTTTGGAACTGCAGATGCGAGCGGAACGTCGTCAGCCTGTTCGTCCGTCGTTCGTTTTCTTCTTCTTTGGGCCATTTCTCCGTTTGAAGACCTCCAGGATTCGCTGGTTCCCTACCGACACTCTTAGGAAATGGAACGCTAGGCCGGCGTGTGGCACCGCATTCAGTTCAGTACACCATATCCTAAGTGTGTTTGGCCTTGTGCCAACCCGGGATGAGCCCGCAGAGTGCCTCCCGTGGACCCGTCGAACGGGTGTACGTCGCTGTTTCCCTTGCTCTGGAAACGTAAGTGCCCACAGCGGGCGAAGCTGGCCTAGGCCGTACGTACGATGATCTTTGTTTCATCTTTGGAATTCCAAGCTGGCTTATGCCTCTACGTGACCGCAGCGATCAAAGCAGCCAGCCATTTCGGCAGGGCACAAGGTGACCACAGCGGTCAAAGCCAGTTTCTAGGTTCATTGGAACCTGTTGGAGCCTTAGTTTTTCAGTTGACTCCTCCTCCGCTCCCCGCTCCTCTTTGGTGTGTCCCTGGACGCTCGTTTCGTAGCTGGGAGCACCTCTCTTTCTCTCTCTCTCTCTCGCGCTCTCTCTCCTTTTCTTGACGGGTGTGTCCTTGGACGCTTGAGTGGTAGCTAGGAACACCATCGTCTCTTTCCTTTTCTCGTTTGGTGTGTCCTTGGACGCTTGGGCTCGTAGCTGGGAGCACCTCTCTCTCTCTCTCTCTCACTCTCTCTCTCTCTCCCTGCGCCTCCCGCCGCTTTGCAGCTCTCTCCTACGGCCTCGCCGCCTACGCCTTACCACACACAGGCCTTCAACCTTTCCTTTCCCTTCCTTACGCCGGGGTCTACACCCTACCGGATAACTGCGTGCAGGGGTGCCTGGGCCTTTCAGTGTGCAGCTGGCAACCGCACCAACCATCCTTCCTCCAGTTTACAAGAAACGGTCACTTCTTTTCCGGTTCTTGTTCTTCCTCTTCCTGCGCCTCCACACACCTTTCCTGTCCCTTCCCTACGCCGGGGTTTACACCCTACTGGATAACCGCGTGCAGGGGTGCCTGGGCCTTTTACTGTGCAGCTGGCAACCGCACCAACCATCCTCACTGAAATCTCACCCTACCTTTGGCGCGGAGCTCAAAATCTTGCCTCCCTTCGGGGAGGCGTGTGTGTGTGTAACCCTTGGAATCATAGGGATCCTTTTGGATTTTTCTGGTTTGTTTATGTCACAGCAGGGGGCTCGTGGACGCATGGGTGGCACGAGCCAACGAAGACCCATCCATGTCGTCGTGATACCAGACCTGATCACTCTGGCGTACCTGCGATTTTCCTTCCTTTCTGAATGGCATGAGGCTAAGCCAAGAACCTCGAAGTTTAGATGTCCTTTTGATGTCTTTTGGAACTGCAGATGCGAGCGGAACGTCGTCAGCCTGTTCGTCCGTCGTTCGTTTTCTTCTTCTTTGGGCCATTTCTCCGTTTGAAGACCTCCAGGATTCGCTGGTTCCCTACCGATACTCTTAGGAAATGGAACCCTAGGCCGGCGTGTGGCACCGCATTCAGTTCAGTACACCATATCCTAAGTGTGTGTGTGTGTGCGTGTGTGAGAGTGTATGGGGAGGTTTGCTTAAGTTGTTGGCCGAGCCAACAATGGGTCAACATCAACATCCATCAATAGAGCCCAAAGTAGGATTGCAAGCGACTCACAGACCTGGGTTAGGCTGAGAGCAAGAACGGCCCAATAAGGATGCACCGTGTGGGCGGTCGTGGTCGTCACCAAGCCACTCGAAGGGATTCCACTGTGGAATGTGGATAGAAGATGATAGAAAACTCTGGAGGTTTCTTTCCCTGGTGTTCAGAAGCTGGAAAACATTTCTCATCATTTCAGTGTGTGGCGCATTGCCTCTCCTCGGCCTTGCCCTTTGTTGGCCCTTTACCATTGGTTTTTGCTTTTAGGCCTAATATAAGCGCAACCAGTTCAGCCTGATCCTTCTTCTCCGTGCAACACGAGTCAGTTGGGCTTTCCTGGCTCATACAACATCTTCGTCTATATAACACACATGTATCACATGTATATACAGTGTTTACTTCGGGTACTGCTGGCAGTGCCACTGCATCCTTCCATCACAGCACGCCTCCCCTTTCTTCCAATTCCTTTTCTGCCTTGGCTTCTCCTCGACATTTAAAGCACCAACCAAATGGTGTTTTGCTTCCAGGCTATTTTTTTTCCCGTGCCCCATCAACCCGACCCAAGAATTCCCAAGAACAAGTTTGTTTTGTTATCCTTCAAGAAGGCTCGTCCAGAAGAAGTAAACAACTCGATCATAATAGTCATAACAATCTTGGGAAATGCTGAGTTTCGGCAAGAGCTCGCGATCCAAGCAAAGTCACAAGGCTGAGGAGCACTATGCTAAATTGGAAGCGTCCCACACCAACTGGGATGGGCGAGGGCGCTGCGAGAGCTTGTGTTTTTCATGTTCATTCCGCCTAAGCCAAAGCAAAGCGCGCAACAAGCCACAGCAAAATGTACGCTGACCTACTTGGAGGTTGACGTCAAGATTGAGAGAGTAAGACAAAGTAACCAATCCAAGCTCCTTTCTGCAGCTTCTCATTTCTGCAGGACCACCCAGATTCTGTACTGCATTGTGTTTGTCACTAGGTGCCTGGCTTGGAGAAGCATTGATCACCGATTGGTTGTAGCAGGATTATGTTCGAGGTACCTGGACTTGCTTGACCACACTCAGTCCTTCTACCTCGTATTCTTCAAGCTGACGTGAGCAATATGCATGTTCGATCTCTTTTGCCATTCGACCTCAATTCCTATTGCTTGCAGGTACATTCTCACGTCCATAGTTGTTCTGGTCCTTTTCTACAACTATGACAGTACGTATGCACGCAGGCCTTTATGAGCCTTATTTGATTATGGAACACAAAAGTTTCCAGCATGCGTTTGACTCGGTATTGCAATGTGGAAGGAAAACACCCCCAACCGTTCGGTGGACTGTTTCTGTCGGGTGCTCGTCACTCAATGGCTACAGTGTAGCAAACTGGCTTTCAACAACGTCCAAAGGACAAGCACCAATGTCTCACTTGTTGAACGGGGGAGGGAATCTCACTGAATCTCCCATCACATTTCACCAGGCATGACACCTGCAATATGACCGTGATTCTTGTGCCCTGCGCACTAGCTGCATTGTTGCTGACGAACGACTACTCTCCCCTGGAGGCATGCCACTTCCCTGCAGTGCACTGGGTATTGTGTTCATGTCGTTTCTTGCAATAAAATTCCGACAGGTGCTGTGGACCTTTTCAGAATTCATCGAAGGCTTTGCGATGGTGGCACCATCCTGCTTTACTCTCGAGCTATTTTCGCTTGCTATTGAGGGTGGTATCTAGGGCTCCTTTCCTTTGCTACAAAGCCTCAAAAGCAATCCTACCTAGTGATCTCCTGCACCCTTTTTCCCACTGCAGCAGCTAGCTTGTGCTAGTGGAGATTGCCATTACAAATCCTTGCGCAGAACATTCTGGATCATTGAGGCGTGAGCGCAGTGTGAGGCCTTCACCATCCGCTTCACCAGCGGAAGAAATGCTTGGCCCAAGGGCCATTGCCCAAAGCACAGAGCTATGCGTAGGCCAAACTTTCTGACAAAGCCTGGTGTGCCAATTGATTCAAGTAATGCTTTCGCCAATGACCTGGCTTCTGAAAGCAAGACAACAAGGTAGCCTTGCATGCAAACAAAGGAGCAATCATGGTCGTCGTGAGTTCAGGGTTTGGGTCCACCAAATTCCAACATTCTTCGCGTTTTCAAGCCTCAACCAGCGCGCAATTCTGCTGTGGCTTGGTGATTCCCCAGATTGCGAGAGCTCTTACTTTAAGTTTAGGAAAGGGTGTCTGTGCATGGAGCAGGGGGCCGCTGCCACATGTCTACGGCAGTGAGCGCTTTGGAGTGTGGGTGCTGGTCCCGCTGCAGAGGTCTGCTGCCAGATGTCTACGGGTGTGTGTGCTTTGGAGCCTGGGCTGGCTGGGCTGGTGCCGATGCTGTCAGAGGTGTACGGCCAAATGCTGCAGGTGCAGCTGCTGCCGACCCTTTTCACTGCATAATAATCCTAGGAGTTTTTGCGTGACCAGAAGGACGTCCAAACAAGAGGCTCGTGAGTTCGCTGAAGGCGGTCTTGAAAGTGAGAAACCTACTTTGGCAGAAATTGAGCCACAAAGTGGTCTACTTGGGCCCAGGCACCCATTGAAAGCGGCACGTGTAGGCAATGAAGTGATGCATTTTTCCGCGGATGAGTCGGTGCGTTTCTAATGAAGGGCTGCCTTTTTACCATGGCCTCATGATTGGTGACCTCTTTTTTTGTTTGCTGACAGCATGGTCCTAACACCCGAAGTAGCGCACTTCCACCAGCGACATGAGTAAACTGATTCTAACACATTCTAGGTGAAGATATTTCTGGCCACAGTTGTTCAGCTATGTTATTTGTGTTGCAACAACCTGGTTTTGTTGCCTTGCGGGCCATTGATCACCGGACCTGTTTGCACATGTAGGAGACACATGCAACTGCAACCAAATTCAATGAAATAGTTTTAAAGCACAAACGTTGAGCAGATGCCAGCATGCAAGCCTAAGCACCCAGTATTGCACCATATTCGAAACAGCAGTTTCAGAAACATTCGAGAGCTCAAGGAAATCTATCGTTGTCCACTTGGTTGGCACATGCCAGGTCCCCCAATATATTTTTTGCTACAGGGAGCGCGTCAACAAGGATGTGTCGGAAGCTCAAGAGATCTTGCTCTTGTTGGTGTAGCATGGGACAGCCTGAGGGGCACCAGCCTTTATGTCGTTATGCTCGGCGGCTACCGGGTATTCTACGCGCTGAATTGGATCTACAAGAAGGTTCCCGGTTCCACTTTTGGCGTTAGGTGTGTGCGTGTACCTGTGCAACGATGCACTTGTCAGATCAACATGCCCCGCTATTCCGACATTCAGTCATGGATCGGTGGACTTGTGGAAATTATGTTCTTTTTGGACTTCCTCAACTATAGGTCTTGGACTTGGCAGTTTCTTCGGCAACCATATCATCCAAGTCCAGTGGACATTCTGTTCTCTGAGGTTTACAGGGAACAGCATTTTGCGTTCCTTTGTTCTCAAAGTCGACACGAAGATCAATGAAATCAGCGACCAGGCCATTACGCCAACCACTTTGTTAACTGCGTGTTCACAAGACCATTAGTATTGCACAAGAGAACGTCGTGTGAACTCAATCCCATGGCAATCACAGCCTGTCAAGAAGGTTTTAAGTCTTGAAGGACTGGACATTATTGGAACAATTCCACCCACCCACCCACCCACCCACCCACTGCGCAGGTGGAATCCAAAGTGCTGGGTTCAACTCCTCGAACAGAGCGGCTTGAAACTGAAGGTGGTGAGATGCGGAGGCGCAGCTTTGACTGGGACTTCTTCACCATATGGATGATCCCATGTTGATGAAGTTGACCATGTAGGGAACTGACTTCAATTAGATTCAAAGGCTTACGGCTTACATGCCTAACAGCCGGGCACCGAGCCATGTCGAGGATGGGGAAGGAAGAGGTGGAGGAAGAAGGGCGTGATGGATGTATGAATGTATAATGTAATGTAATGTAATGCAATGCAATGTAATGTAATGTCACGTAGTCGTAGTGTAATGTAGTGTAATGCAATGCAATGTAATGTAATGTTTGTTTGTTTCCATGTTTGTATGTCTGTTTGCATGTCTGCGTGTTTGCATGTCTGTACGTGGATGGATGGATGGATGGATGGATGGATGGATGGATGGATGAATGGATGGATGGATGGATGGATGGATGGATGGATGGCTTCTATTTTTTCACTGATGGGTCTTTGGTGACTGGAGAGCGAAAGGCCGTTGTGGCCTAGAAAAAGTCTACCACCATGGTCTCTTCGTCCACCTCGCCAGCAGAGTTCTCCTCTGGAAAGAGTTCCCGCCTCGCCTGCTGACAAGTGGCCTGAGCTTCATCGGACATGGCTTGGTCCTGTGTGTGTGCCTGCGGAGGCTTGGCCGGCGAGGTGTTTTCTGGTCATGTCATCGTCTGGCGCTATCACTGAATCATCAGTGTTGCTGGTGGAGCTGGTGTCTGGCATCGTAGGACCTGTGGGCTTTGTGGGGAAAACTGGTGGTGTGCCAAAGTATTCTGCAAGTTTGGCTGTCTGGCTCGTGGTTTGCCCTTTGCACTGTTGCTTGAGAACCATGTATGTAACGTAACGGAAGGTAAGGTAATGCAACGTAACGTAGTGTGATGTCATGTAATGTATGTCACGTATGTCTGTTTGCATGTCTGCCTGCCGCCTGCCTGCCTGCCTGCCTGCCTGTCTGTCTGTCTGTCTGTCTGCATGTATGGATGGTTTTTTTCCTGAAGGTGTTCAGCTGTTGCCTTTTTGGCAAGTTGTTCGAGGCCTATGCACTCCACGTTCAGTTGGCGGTTGCCTCAGAAGAAGTCCACTTCGATGGAGTCTTCGTGCTCGTCAATTTGGGGCGACTGCCGCTGTGTTGGGTTGTGCGGCTGTTGTGGCCTGTGTGGCTGGGTTTCATGGCCTGTAGCCCTGAGTCTGGTGGTGCTCTCATGGAGAGTCTCCGAGGCATACGCCTGTGAGGCAGGCTCGGGGCCTTCAGGCCTAGCCGTGCTCTTTGGTGACTGGTGCTGTCCTGCGTCAAGGCTAGGGTTCATGGCCAGTGCAGGATGTCGTTGATCTTCTGCCTGAGTGAGTGGTGTTGCAAAATGCAACCTCCTTGGTGTTGGGTGGTTGCCCCCTTCAGTCAAAGGAGCGGCACGCTGTTGTGTGTGAGTGTTCTCTCCACCTGTTTGCCGTGCAAAGAAGTCGGTTAATGGCGGTGTGCCTGCTGAAGCTGCCCCTTTGCAGGGTCTCTTGATACTGGCAGTTAGTATCACTCTTTGTTGGCCATCCAAGTGCAAGGAAAGCCCGCATTGTGTGCAGGTGACCTTGCTGCCCTTCTGCCAAAGAGCATGGCTTTGGTGGCCGTCATGGCTATGTGGGTAGGGCTGGTCCAAACAGCTGCTAGTGAGAAAGCTTTGAAAGGTGGTTTCATTGCTTCTCTTGTGAATGCTGGTGCCGCATTTGACACAACGAAGATAGCCAGTCGTCTCTTCCAGCTCATGCTGTGTCTGTTCAACCGCCTGGGCTTGTTGTTGCTGGAGCAGTTGTTGGATGACCTGCTGGCGGGTCTTCTTCTTGGGCATGGGCACATGTGGACTGGCCGGTTCTGCAATGTTTTCCTCAATGCTGAGTTGAGGACAGGGTTCCTGGAGCCTCTCTTCGATCACAACTACTGTCAAGGCTTGGTGCACTCTGATCCCACATGCCCCACATTGGTATCCACTGCGGTGAGGTGCCCATCGGTGCAGGGGTGTGAGCCGTGGTTTGTTGCACCTGCCTATGAGCTGCTTCTTGTACTGCTTGGTGTGCTTGCCCTGATGTCGATCTGGTTTTTGATGCAGGTAGTGGTCTTTGTCCTTGTAGATCTTGGCAAGTCTTTCAATGGCGTGCTGGTATATGAGCTTGGCATCCTCATCAACAACGTGCTGCCATTCGGTTCGTTTGCTGCTTTGAAACTCCTTTGCCCGCTCCCAAGCTGTCAAAGCTGCATCCCGTTGTCTCCTTCTCAATTGTGGCTCACTGCCGGGTGCTTCAGGTGATCTTGTGTTTCTGGAGACATAAAGCATGGTGACTCTGTTGAAATCCTGGTCTGTGACCTGTTCCAGGATGTCGAGGAAGGGTCCTCTGTGCTTGGGATGTGTCCATGCTTCCCATACCGAAACCAGCTGTACAATGACGCGTACAGTCGTTGTGGTATGTTTGGTCAGGGCAACAAGTCCTTCCATCAGGGCCCTTGCTTTGGTATGGGGTGTGACAGTTGTACCAGTGATGGCTCCCAACCGTTGAAGTTGGCCCATGCTGAGGCTGTGAACGCAAAGCCCAAACACCCAAATTTGATCACGTGCATCATAGCTGGTTGGGGTGGCATCGAGCGTGAAGGCCCATCCTTGATATTGATGCGTGGCAAGTGGTGCCAGCTCACGCCAGGCCCCATGGCCTTGGTAAGGGTGTCTGATGTGCTTATGCTCTTGTGGTTCCAAGGGTAGCCATCCCGCCGACCACAGTGGTGTTTCATCATCCGTGAGTATGCGTTCTGCCCACTCTGAGGGCATGGGCTGGTGGTGTTGGGTCTGATGCCATTTGCGTAGCCATAGGATATGCTTGGCAGTGGCTGGTACGTTGCAGATTGGACACTGTTTGGGTTTCCCAGCTTCTTTGTAGTGGATGCCTCCTTGGGTCCAGGTGCGGAGATACGTCTTGTGATCTCTTGGCAGCTCTTTGAGGACCGTTTGGTATGTGTGCCAGTCAATCCCTGTCACCAGATGATGGTGATTTTCTTTGGAAGCAAATCTGGCCGTTCTTTGTGCTGTAGCCTCCTGAAGAAGAGCTCGTTCCAGCTTCCACCAAGGGTCTTGGATGCTGATCTCAGCTTCAAGGAGAAACTGGCTGGCTGGTCGGTGCCATCTGGTGAGCTGTTGAACATTCCATTGCCATTCAAGCAGGTAGGCAATGCCGGCTGCCATGGGGCCACGAACGACATACGGTACTGTCTCTGCTGCAGATGGTCATGCACCTCTGTCCAAGCCTGCTCAAAATGCTGGAGCTGGTCGGTGGGCCAGGTGTGGTAGAGTTGGTGCAGGGCTTTGATGTGGTGCAAAATGACCTGGTCACCTGGGTCAATGTATTTGTTGCCGTGCAGGTCATAGGTGCAATCCAGCAGTCCCCCAGCATGATGGCCTAGGTGCGTGGCGAGTGCCTGTCGGAGTGCAGTTCTGTATCTGGGTGCCAGCCCTTGCGCTTCCGTGCCCCAGAGCGCCACAGGTTGTATGCCCCCTTTGTGAAGTCTTAGTCTGATTTTCAAAGCCGGTATCTTCAAGGTTCTTAGTTTGAGGCGCCTCTGCTTGGCCTTTTGAAACCTCTGCCTGAGGACTGGAAGGCGGCGGCGTCTGGCTGCCTGGTGATCAATGCCAAGATCTCTCATCACCGTTGAGATGGGTGGTTCATGCTCTTGAAGCAGGCCCTTGAGAGCTTGCTCAGTTTGCTTGTCCGTGGCTATGAAAGCTGTCTTTTTTGGATTGACTTTGAGGCCTAAGCCTGTGAGGCGTAGGTGCAATTCACGATATGCTTCCACCGCTGTCTTGGCCACCTGGACTGCATTGGATCCGTTGACGTCATATCCAACATCATCAACCCAGCTGGACAGATTGGCTGCAGGGTGGTTGGCTTTCCATGGAATCAGTGCAGGGGCTAACACAGCCTTGGCAAGCAAAGGTGCCTGTGGACATCCGGCTGGTACTCCATGATCAACATGGAAGAAGTGTTACCTCCCCAGTCTGCCAGCCTTTGATCCATTCTCTGTGGCATAGGAGTCATGCGGTACGGTCTCTCCCAAGCCAATTCGCTGCTCTTCAAACTGCGAAAGAGTCCTTCTAGGCCCTTTTGGTATCCTTCTTGTAGCCATTGTCGGTACTGGAGCGTGACTTCTTCATTGGCAGCTTGCTGGGTCTCTTGCAGTTGGTGACCAATTGTCTGAAGCATCAAGTCTGCCGCATGAGGATCTCGATATCGATGCCAATGATGACAGGTGTCTAGAAATTGTGCCCACGTGGGTGCTCCAACCCAATGGCGATGCGCATGCCTGATTCGGCTCATGAAGCCTTGAACAGGTCCTGCTTGAGAAGTTGTGGGCTGCTGCAAGGCAAGCTGTAGGACTGCCTTCGATTGTTCGAAAGTCAATGTCAGGCACCTTGGGCAGTGGGGGATAGTAAGGCATTTGCCTGTAGAGCTTGGTGGCCGCTCCCATGTCAAATTGAAGCTTGAGGAGTGTATGTGGTCGCCAGGGTACTGCCCATTCTGTTGTGATGGAAGTTGTTCCTGCTAGTGTGTTGTGCAGGATGGCATAGTCGATGGTGTTGCCAGAAAGGACACTGTGATCCGGGGCCAGTATGCCAAATTTAAACTTGGCAGGCAAGACCGTGCTGGCCAACGTGTGAGGCTGGTTTTGCCAATCCCCAATGATGACATAGGGGTGGGTGGTGTTGGTGAGCAAAGCCAAAAGGTTGGCCAGAATGTCGGAGTTGACCTCACTTTGAAAGGTCTCCCCTGTGCGTAGATAGATGCCAATGACCAAGATTGTGGTCTCCGTTGCCTGCCACAAGAAACTCTGATATCCGCATCCAGATTTGGTGTAGGCTTCAAAGGGTGTTAGTCCACTTGCAGGATCTGCCAGAACAAGCATCCCACCATGTGTCCCAGTGTTGTCCGGGTTGGATTCCGCAGGTGTGCCGAAGACTGTGCGGCCTCTGATGCTGAAGTACTGGCA